CCCCACAAGCTGCAGCTCTGGTCCCACCCCCACCTGGGCAGCATCTGCCCCGCCCCCTCCCTCACTGTGGAGGGCATTGATCTACCCCTCCCCCCCAATGCCCCTTCCACCACACTGGACGTACCAGCTGGAGGCAGCTGTATCGGACATCGGATCGGTATCAGCCAATATGCCTCCTTAAATATCTGCATCAGTCCCAAAAATCTCTGGGTGCACCCCTAATACACAAAGTACAATATTTGTTAGCTATTAAGCCTCAATAGCTCATAGGCAAGTAATTAGAAGAAGCCTTTGTCTAATTTTTCTTTAGACTAGTAAGTTTGTAAACTGCTTAGTTTAAAGAAAAAGGAAGAAATTTAGAATTAAGACAAAATTTCCTTGTGCCTTCTAAAAGAAGTCTCTCTTTGTTAAAGTCCTTCACAGGTCTCTTAGTATTTGGTGCTCTACCTCAAGGAACTGTAATTAGGGGAAGTTAATTTTAATCTCTTTAAGAATAATAATTGAAAAAAAAGGACCTAGACCTCATGGTTACAGGAAGAGTTAGATTGTGAAAGTTTCACTTTTAAAGAACTTTAGAAAAAGCAAGCAAGCCAGAATGACAGAAAACACTCACACAATTAGACAAATGTTATTGTATTTAATTTTGAAGAGGGGTGGAGGAAGATAGAGGGATAATATAGGATTTTTGAATTTGCAATACTGCTGCTGTTTTAAAATAAGTACAAGAACACTAATTCCTCCAACAGCTGAATGGTTCTGTTCCTTCTCAAAAGGAAAACATTTAAACCATTTGTATTTCTCTGCATTTGAGGGTAAGGAAACAGGGAAAAGGAAAAGGAGACATGACTATATTATTGACTTTACAGACAAAAGAGAGCTAGGACTTGAGGCATCTTGCTCCCCCAAAGAATGCTCCAAGGAGACTGGATACTCAATAAGGAACCATCTCCACAAGCATTTAAGGCCTTAGCCAAACTAAAAGAATGGAGGAAGGGAAAGAGTCTACAAACCAACACCATTTGATACCACTGCTTAGACCAAGGGCAGGCAATTGTTTGGGGTGGAGGGCCGCTTACCCAGTTTTGGCAAGCTATCAAGGGCTGCATGGGTAGCCCTGCTCCTGGTCATTGTCAATGTCTCAGGGCTGGTACCAGTGGGGCCCAGAGCAGGGTGCAGGCTGGCAGGGGTCTGTGGAGCCGAGCTGGACTGCACCAGCAGGGGGAGAGGGGGGAGCTGGCCCAGTTCCATAGAGCCCCTGCTGGCTGGGACCCTGTACTCCTGCTGCCCTGCTCTGGGCCCTGCCGGCGCTGGCCCCAGGACCCTGTGCCCTCACTGATTCCCGTACCCACAGTGCCCCCCCAGCCCCACAGTACATTTGGGGGGGCAGCACACAGTCCCAACCCCCTGCTCGCTGGCAGGGGTGGAGCTGGTGCCAACTTCGGGGAAAAGCCCCCACATGGGCTGCAAGCATCTGTAGCAGGGGGCGCTGGCCACAGAGCGGGCAAGGGGCCGCTTTTCCACGCTGCACTCAACACCGGCTTGTAATCCACCCCCACAGCCAGCCTGGGCCCCACGCTGGCTCCAGGCTCACTTATTGAGGGTGCACTGTGGTAGGAGCAGCTGCTTGGCACAGAAGAAAGCGACCCCCCTGCCTGCCATGCTGGGGAGTGTTTGCCACTGCCGCCTCTGTGTTGCTCAGCAAACGAGCTCCAGGCAGGCAGCAGCAGCAAACACTGCCCGGCACAGACCAGACCTTTCTTTTGCGCCGATCAGCCCCGATGGGTGAGCCCAGAGCCAGAGCAGGGCCCAGACTGGCAGTGGGAGCAGGTTACAAGCTGGTGCTGAGCATGGGGCAAAGTGGCCCCTCCCCCGCCCCATGGCCAGGGCCTGCACTGCAGCCACTCATAGCACATGTGGGGCTGCCTGTGCCTGCTCAGAACATTCCTGCATGAGCTGCGAGCACCTGCAGCAGGGAGCACTGGAAATGGGACAGGGGAGGGGCCGCTTTCCCCCATGCTCAGCACCAGCTCCTTCCCTGCCCACAGTCCTCCCCTGCCCCCGCCCCCCCACCTGAGGTTCCAGTGCTGGTGCAGCCACATAGTCCCAGGCCAGAAGCCCCTCCTGGGGCTTCCAGCTGGGG